GGCAGCCCCGTGTCTTTCAGAGTAGAACTGCTCCCTAGGGTTTTCAATGGCTGTAACCTTACAGGCGTAGATCGCCAAGTCTTTCTTCTGAGATGCTTCTGGGTGGACTTGAATCTTCAACTTTTAGGTTAGCAGCCAAGAGCTTTAACCATCTGCAATACCCAGGAACTCCTCTTACACAAAAAGGGGCTATAATTAAGAATCTTTTTGGGATGCAGAGACCTTGATCTTGATGATGATGATGATATTTACGGAGCACTTACTACCTCACTGTGCTAAGCACGGCACTCAATCATCTCACCTGAGTCTCATTTCAGTCCAAGGAGGTAGAACTGTCATCATCCCCATTCTACCTCGAGGAAACTGAGGCTCAGAGAGGCACAGTAGCTTGTCCAAGGGCTCATCTCGAGCAGGTAGTGGAAATGGCATTGGGACCCAGGCAGTGTTATTTCAGAATTGACGCCCTGAACAGCCTCAAACATACATGTATAAAGTCAATCTACTTTTCCCTAATAAAAGTGTTCCTAGTTCATGTGCATCGTGGAGGCCCACAATCACCATGATACTTTTCCATGTGAACAAGCCTCAGAATCAGCAAGAGATGCCCTTCCCTGAGTAATTCTGCGTCAGGCCCCACCCAGCAAGACCTTGGAGCTCACATGATTCATGGAGTCTATGTATGCAGTCATCCGAAGAAACCCCAGGGTTCTAACTCCTCCGGACTATTTCCATGCAATTGGTTGTATATACTGTTAGTTCAACACTATATGATACAGATTCCAAGAAATGTATAAATTACTAGAAAGCAGTTGACCCCTTCAGCTCTCCAGGTGGTGTGCAAGGAATACAGCCCCAGGTGTGTACAATTATCAAATGCACATGTTGACTGGCTGAGGCATCAGTGATGGCGTGGCACACGGTTCACCTTGCCCTTTAAAGCTCAAGCTTGAAAAGCACCTTCTAAGTTACAAAAAGCACTCAAGGTTATCTATTTAAAAAAATATGTACTTCAAAGTGTTTTACATGTTTGTTCAGTTTCGCATCGTCCACCCCCTTTTTCCTTCGCAGAGGTGAACACCCTGGGATATTACAAGGGACAGTGGTACAAAATGCTGGACTAAATCCATCAGAAAATCTTGGCTCAGCCACTGTCTTCTGTGTGGCTTTCTGCAAGTCCCCTACCGTCACTGTCCTTATTCATAGAGTTGGGAGAACCATGTGCACTTTACGTTAATCTTACAACATGGCTGGGGTGTCAAGTGAGACACTAGATGTGGCAGACTTAAAAAAGGAGCTGCTTGCTAGCTGCCGTCAAGTTGGCCCCTGGCTCATGGTGACCCCAGACTTACGGCTACCCTATGCACAATGGGACTGAACCATTTTGATCCTAGCAGCACCCAAGCCTCCACTGACAGATGGGTGGTGGCTGGGCATAAGGTGCATTGGCTGTGACTCGAACCCAGGTCTCCAGCAGGGAAGACAAGAATTCTATCACTGAACCACCACTGCCCTCTAGAAAAAGAAACAGAACTCCATAATTCCTAGGTGCATAGCATTATTCCCGTGGCCACACAAGGCCAAGTGGCTGAGCCAAAATCAGGGCCTATACGTTTGGGACCCAGGTCAGTATTCCATAATTCACACAGGCATCTGGTCTATGCAGTGCAAACTTTCAAAACCACAGCAAATACTGTTAACTAAATCGGGCCTAATTCTGACCAGCGTCTGAGATGGTAAATCTGAAAAGCAAAAGTAAGCTGACCATCAAGTGTTGTTAGATACGTGCCTACAAAGAAAATAATAAACACCTCTTTGTATTTTTTATTAAGTGTAAAATGGACCCGAAAATCTTAAAACCATCTCTCCAGCCTCCAGTATCCTTAGCCAGTCTACTTGCCTGAGCCTTCTTTCATTAAAAGCAAACCTCACCATGGAGAAACAGCGATTTTAATTGGCAATTGGTGCAGTTCATTAGCGCTAACAACTGTCCTTTTACTGACCTGATCAGGTGTTCAGAGCAACTAACATGCGTAGAAGACCAGGCATGGGAGGGGGACACCCGATAAATACGAAAACAAAGATAAATCAAGCAAAACTGCATCAACAATCAGAAGAAATAAGCTGAACAATTCTCACATGATACCACGTTTCTTTGTGAAAAGTCCAGAGCCACGGACTAAGCTCCTTAGATTTCACGGTTAATGATTAGATCCAGAAGGATCTACCTGGTTATGGGTATTAAAATTAAACATTTGCAACCCAACCCATACATCCATGTCATAAGAAATACCAGATTAAGCAGCAGTACTATGTTAATATCATAATCCATGTAGAATATTTTTAAATGTTTAAAATATATCATTTTTTTCTTTCACTGGAAAGTATCATTGGAATAACAAAAAATTTTTTTACAAAGCGCTTATATTAAAATCTTGAGCAGAGAGTTTGGTATCCTTTGCTTTTAAGAGAATGCTTATTTTTGCAATTTTTTACTCAAGTATACGGTGTCAACTGCACAGTAGTGATAACCACGCCTTCCCCACGAGCCTTTCCCCAAGTGGGCTTCCCCAGCACACTTGCTGCAAAGACAGGAATGAATGCTAGAAGGCCCACGCCAGCACTGCAATGCGACCACTGTCCTCCCTACAGCACATTCTGCAGAAACAGCCATTACATGTGTAAACAGCACAGGTGCTTTGCCGCAACTGCCTTGTCAAGGGCAATGAATTTTATTTTCTTGGAAAGGCCTTTGGATAGACCAGCTTCTTTATATTATCACCATTTTCTGCTTAGAAAACGATCAATCTAAAAAAAAAAAAAAGTTACTTTCAAAGGAATTAATAGTCAATGGCTAGTTTATAAACAATTATATAATCATGTTTTTCCAAAGGCAGACTAGGGAATGCTGTAGTTTTTTAAACATTTACAAATACTGATGACACCTACTGGTTGAAAATATATTTGAGTTAACTAATGGAGAAGCAAGGACCACGAGGGTTGGCTGCCTTTTGCACTGATAAAGGGAAACAGAAAACTCCCCGCTAAACTCGCTTAAATTTCTTTTTCCACCTTTGCCTATCTCCATTATTAGGAAGTGATATGCCAGTTCAGCGAAGCTAGGAGATGTACTGGACTGGACCCTCTGCCTCAAGGTAGAGAGCATAAGAAATACTTCTACTCCAATTTAAACATTTATAATATTTAAAAAAGCTCAATGGTGATAGTTGAAAAATATTTACCAACTATTTCCAAAAGCGTCCCGCCCCCATCCTTATTCCCTCTCCAGATCATCCCCATAAAAGAAAAATTAAATCACATTTTATAATCTGGATCGAAGTACTAATGAAGAAAATTGGTATTTGACATTTGGTATTTTTTCTTTCAACACATTTGTGATGTACAGAACGTATCTACATTCAAGTAGAAGAATAAGACAAAGCAGATGTGTTTACTTAAGCCTTTAACCAAACTACTGAAATAACACAGGACAAAGTGATAGCAGCGAGGGACTGGTTAGAGTCCAGAGTTATCTTTCTTTCACCCATTTCAATTTATTAATTAAACTTGGTTATGCTTTGCTCCTTTCCAAAATGAGCTTCAAGGCACCAGCCTCACTGCTCCTACACTCACTAAATTATGAAGTTCACGTTGAAAACTTCATTATATCCGTTCCAAGCCTGATCCACCTGAATTCTATGCAGGTGTTGTCCTGTCACGACTTAAAGAAGGATCCAAACGCCACTACAGCCAACACATTTTCACAACTGCTGGGAACAGAAATTCTTTGTAAAAATCTACAACTGAGCTCGGGTGTGGGGTGGAGGGGAGGAACAGAAGTTAGTTTGTACTCAGCTTACAGAAAGCTGATTACGACTGGAGTCCTGTCAGCTTGGAGCAGCTCTTGTTAACAGGCAATGAGCCTTTGATGCTGTTCTCCCAAATACATATAATTCAGTGAGCCGAGTGCACACAGCTGAGCAGACCCAAGGGTGGCAGGGGGATGGGCTGGAACCTCCGAAAATGCCGACACAAGGCCAATGCACACCTGCCTCCAGACTCTCCCCGGCAGTGGCGATTCGGTTCACCGGTGAGGTAGCGGAGAGGGGAGATTTTCCGGATACACCCACGAGCAGCACGGATGAGTGGGTCCTGTGGGTTCTACTGAATTTTGACCACAGCAAAGCCTTCGCTGTAGTCCAGTGAAAGCAACTATACTCCCCTGACTCTCGCGGAAAGAGACACTTTCTACTCCAGCTGAGCCCACCTCTAAGACCAGTGCACTCTTTGCCAGAGAAATAACACGCAGGAGGAAAAGGCAGACAAACGCAAGCTGGGAAGGCTCCCTCAAGCCACAGGAAAGTTCTCAGAAGGGAGAAGTTTCCACTGTTCCAAGGCAGCTTCCCACCGTCCCGTGGAGTTTAATTCATTTTCAGGATCCCTGTGGGAGACCCTCGCACTCCTTATTTAGCCCCAGGCCGCCAGCTGAATGACCCCCACTGGCCACAGGTGACAAGCAGAGATGCTGTGTCCTGTCTTCGCTGCCAGACAGTTGCAAGGCCAAGTCTGGCAGGTGAGACGTTCTGAGGGGTCCCCAAGAACCTCCCCCTGCTCCCCCAAACCAGACATGAGGAAAGCAGCGGTTAAATGGCAGTCTTCCGTGACATCTGGCCCTGAGAATACAGGTGGCGTAAGTCCCTCCGCGAGTCTAGACAGATGATGGCCAGTCTGGGGCCCTGCAGGGGAGACTGCTGCTCCCTGGCCGGAGGAAGAGAGACAGACAGAGGCGGCGGCTCGGGCTTGATCCAAAGAGAAGGGGCCGGCGGAAGAGACTGACAGAGCGATGGAGACAGGGAGCCACTGGGCCAGTGTGCGAGACGGTGGACGGGAGGTAGAGCGTGCACTGGAGACAGACAGAGATACAGGAGGGAGCTGGGATAGTAAGGGATAGAGAGACACAGAGAGACAGACGCGGAGAGATCCAGGTGGCGGGGGCGCCCTACCTCGGCGTCCTTGGCCGCACTGCTGGCCGGGGGTACCTCCAGGCTGCAGTTCGCCCTCTTGACCGTGAGGTAGAAGGGGTAATCCTTGGCCACCATAGCGGCTGCCGGGCCTGCCCTTTGGGATGTCACCGCTGACCCCAGGCGACCACAAAACTCCCAGGCGAAAGGGGGCCCCCGCTCCACGGTGCCAGGCGGCGGCGCCAACGCGAAGACCGACACCCGCCTTCTAGCCTGGCGGGACCCCATGCCGGCGCTCCGGCAGAACGGCGGGTGGGGCCGCGGCCGGGCCTGCCC